CCCCAGAATACAGCACCCATAGGGGTAAGAGGCCCCCAGAGCACAACCACCCATGGGGGGGTAGAGCCCCCAACACCCAAAGAAACCAAGCCCCCCAGGGCACCCCTCCCTCTACCAAGGGGCCCAGAGCCCCCCAGGACACCCCTCTCCACTCACCATACTGCTCGGCCCCCGGGCCGGTGCGCGGACAGACAGCCGGAAGTCCCCGGGGTTCTCGGGCTCCACACTCAATTGTAGTTGTAGGTCCTCCCGCGAACTCCCCGCCCCCTCCCGCCAGGCCCAGACCGACATGAGCACCGTGGGCAGAGGCTGAGAGGGGCCCCCGCACGCCATCTTCTTCCGGGGTTCCCCCCGAGTCACCCTGACAGCTTGGACACTACCGGGGCCTCTCCGGACACTTCCGGATCTCGGGAGAGCGTGAGCGACACCTGCCGGACCACAGCGCGGTACTGCACGCCCTGTGTAATACGATAACAGATACTATGTATAATTTCCTGACAGAGCGCCGCCGGTCGGCCACAGCCCAGTACTGCACCCACTATATAATACAATATCAGAGGGAGCGCCACCTTCCGCTCACAGCGCGGTACTACACCTGCTGTATAATACAATAACAGATACTACGTATCACTGCCCGAGAGAGCGAGCGCCACCTGCCGGCAACTGCGCTGTACTGCACCCACTGTATAATTCAATGGAAGATAATATGTATTACTGCCTGATAGAGAGAGCGCCACCTGCCGGTCTCAGTGCGGTACTACACCCCCGTATTATACAATGACAGATACTATGTATCACTGCACGAGAGAGGGAGCGCCACCTGCCGGCAACGACACGACAATGCACCCTCCTATATAAAACAATGACGAATACTATGTATCATTAACTAAGACAACCGGCACTGCAACCCCCAATACGGCACAAAGGTGCCGCATTCAGTGGACTACAACTCCCAGCAGCCTTCTCTGCGGCCCGGTGTCAGGTTCCTTTTACTTTCACTTTCTTCCACCAACCAGGAAGCGCATGACGTCATCAGTGGGCGGCAGCTCCTCCTTGAGGAGGTCATGTGACTGACTGCGGGTAAGTGCGGGGCCCCTTAACCGCCCACCGCAGGTGACAGAGAGGACTTGGTCATGGTAGGAACGTGATTGCAGGGCCGTCATCCCCATCCTTGCCTCCCTGACCTGGATCAAGCATGTAGCAAGTGGTGTTAGGAATCCCACGCAGGAAGTGTGGTGACAGGTTCCCTTTGTGGTCACCACTCACCAGGGACCTCAGTGAGCTCAGGCAGGGCCTTTCCCCACTGGAGCAGCTTCCAGCAGAGGCTTTGCCCTGGCAAATCAGCCCTTCCTCTGAAGGGGTCACTCCACCCAAAGGGAATTGGCCCTCTAGATGGAAGCCTTCTATTGGCTTTCTCTATGGTTCCATGTCGGTGCGGGTGAGTGACGGCCTTGGAACCGAGGTTGTCAGCACTGTGTGGTGATGACGGGTCCTCTTATGATTGTCATTTTCCATGGAGTCCAGCGTTGTCTGACTTGGAGAAGTTCTCCCTGTGCCGCCACCTTGAGATCCCGCACATGTGCAGACACACAGCAGGTCTGTGGGACTTGGCAGAGACCTGCGGCGTGTACGTATCTCATTCTCATCCACGGAGGGACACAGGAATTCAGGTACTGTTGGGTTATACTGCTGCCTATAGGAGGATTGGACAGCAGCAAACAAAAACATTGTAGGCCAACCCAGTATAAACCGCTTCTCTACCCAGCATGCCTCAGTTTTTGGCTAGTGACCTAGGAGGATGGCCGTCATGTCTTCAGCTCTGCTGGGAGAGGTCTGACCAAGGTTTTGTCCATTGATTTTGTTCTTGGATTTCTTCTTCCATTGATTTCAGTCTAGATTCCTCACAACGTCTGCACCTGAGCTGCTCTCTGTAGGTATCCGTTCCTCCGCTTGACCTCAACGTCAGGGCCAAGGAGAGGTTCCCCAGCCTGACCTCAACATGAGGTCCAAGGAGAGGTTCCTCAGCCTGACCTCAACATGAGGTCCAAGGAGAGGTTCCCCAGCCTGACCTCAACATGAGGTCCAAGGAGAGGTTCCCCAGCCTGACCTCAACATCAGGGCCAAGGAGAGGTTCCCCAGCCTGACCTCAACGTCAGGGCCAAGGAGAGGTTCCCCAGCCTGACCTCAATGTCGGGTCCAAGGAGAGGTTCCCCAGCCTGACCTCAATGTCGGGTCCAAGGAGAGGTTCCCCAGCCTGACCTCAATGTCGGGTCCAAGGAGAGGTTCCCCAGCCCGACCTCAACGTCAGATCCAAGGAGAGGTTCCTGACCCAGACCTCAACGTCAGGTCCAAGGAGAGGTCCCCCAGCCTGACCTCAAGGAGAGGTTCCCCAGCCCGACCTCAACGTCGGGTCCAACGTGAGGCTCCCCAGCCTGACCTCAACGTCAGATCCAAGGAGAGGTCCCCCAGCCTGACCTCAAGGAGAGGTTCCCCAGCCCGACCTCAATGTCGGGTCCAAGGAGAGGTTCCCCAGCCTGACCTCAACGTCAGATCCAAGGAGAGGTTCCCCAGCCTGACCTCAACGTGAGGTCCAAGGAGAGGTTCCCCAGCCCGACCTCAACGTCGGGTCCAACGTGAGGTTCCCCAGCCTGACCTCAACGTGAGGTTCCCCAGCCTGACCTCAACGTGAGGTCCAAGGAGAGGTTCCCCAGCCTGACCTCAACGTGAGGTCCAAGGAGAGGTTCCCCAGCATGACCTCAACGTGAGGTCCACGTTTCTGTTTTTTGTTCTCATGTAAGAGCTCCCCTCACTTCCTGTCTGGTGAAACCATCGCCAGCAGGACAGGAAGTAAGGTGAAATCTCTCTAACATAGCTCTGGATATCGGTGACGATCTGCTAGGGCAGGGATGGCCAAACTCCGGCCCTCCAGCTGTGGTGAAACTACAAATCCCATGAAGCATCTCTCTCCGGGAGTCATGTCTGTGGCTGAATTTTGCACAGCCTCATGGGATTCGTAGTTCCACCACAGCTGGAGGGCCGCAGTTTGGCCACCCCTGTGCTAGGGGTCCTTCTCCACTCCATGCAAAACTAGATAGAAATGGCTGGAGTTGCACTCTGAGGCCTCATCTGGAACCCCAGAGAGCCGAATGTGGTCGTAGTGTCGCTAGTGAGCCTTGGCCAGATCAGCTGTACCCAATGCTCATTTTTAGACTACGTTACACTCTTGTTAAAGTGGACCTGTCGTGAGGGCAATATGGAGACTTCCCTCCTGGAAATGTTGATTCCCTTGCTGCCATATGAGCCATTGACCACAGCAATTATGCAGAAAAAGACATTCAGATCTCACTGGCCGCTTTCTTGCTCCAGGTCAGTGACTCACAAAGCATGGAAGCCAGGAAGCATGACATTCAGGCTGGTGGTTTTTCAGGTGGTCAACATCAGTAGTCCCACCATGACGGTTTTCCCATTAGATCTGCAATCTGAGCGCTGTGTTTGTCTTTTCAGGGACGGAGATGTCGGGGTGGAACCATGCTGTCTCTGGTATGTGTGTGCGCACAGAAGGTGGTGAGTGACCATGCCTCCCTCCTCCGGACGTTGGACTCCATTCCCCGTGAGCTCTACCCAACGCTCTTCACTGCCGCCTTCCTGGGGAGGAAGACTCTGGTCCTGCAGGACCTGGTGCAGCGATGGCCCTTCACCATCCTCAGCTTCCAGGAGCTGCTACGAGGCGACAATGGCCAGCTCCACCATAACCCTAGCCGGATGTCCACTCAGACTGTCATTCTGGGTGTCATGGCTTACCTGAGTGACGCGCTGAGCCGAGAGAATGGGGCGGAGAGGTAACTGACTAATGCTGTAGGAGGAGTTAGATTCCGGGGGGGGGTAGCTGGGGACACAGCTGGGTGGTTTAAGCCATCGGCATTCACCCGGACCATCAAAAATAAACTCCATCAGACCCATTTCATGACATCTTTGAGCTAAAGGGCCAGAAAATTGATAATTTAGCTATAGGAGGGGTCTGGTGGATTGAGTCACCGGCTCCAACACAGAGGTCTTCATACTGGAGTTCTCAAGGAAAACCTGTACCCAGCGAGTTAGCGTTGCCTGAAGCCATTGAATTTGCATGATAGCCAGGGAACTTGTATTCATTTCTTGTCTATTGAGGGACACAGGAGGTCTTGTACTGTCGGGTTATGCTTCCACCTACAGGGGGTTTAGACCCTGGCAAACCAAAACATTGCAGGCCAGCCCAAGATAAACCTCATTACCAGCAAGTAGGGATGCACCGATACTATTATTGGTATCGGTGCCTATACCGAGTATTTGGCTGAGTGCTTGTACTCGCCCAAATGCTCCGATACCTAGCACGAGTACTTCCTGTATCAGGAAGCCGGGCAGCGCATCATTACACACTTCCCAGTTTCCTGATTGGCCAAGAAATGGCTCCATGCTCTCTCGTCACTTGTGATGAGAGAGCATGGAGCTGACTTCCCGGCCAATCAGGAAGCCGGGTAGCGTGCAATGACGCCCTGCCCGGCTTCCCGATTGGCCAGGAAGCTAGCAAATCCGGAAGCCGGGCGCCGTGTAATGACGCAGCGCCCCGGCATTCTGATTGGCCGGGAAGCCGGCGTCATGCTCCCTCGTCATCTCATGAATCATAATATTAAGAAAGTTACCTTAAAGCATTAGTTTGTATTGCTTTAGAAAAAAATGTGACCTGTCCCTTTAAGAAAAAGTATCGGTAATTGGTATCTGCGAGTACTTGATCAAAAGTATCGGTACTCGTACTCGGTCTTAAAAAAGTCAGTGCATCCCTACCAGCGTGCCTCAGTTTTTTGCTAGTGTCCTTCTAGCAGGACTTCACTCAACATTGCTGCTACATTGTGGCCGAGCTGGTCTCCAAATGCAGCTATCCACATTGGGCTTTGGAGTGCCGTATCCAGACCATGCTAGGCGAAATGATTGCGGCATGGTTTGGGATGTGACCTTCGGCCGCTGGATTCCACATTGTGGAGCCTTCCAGACCTGCCCCGGCTCACACTCCCCTCGCAGTTCCGTCGCTTGTAGCGCGTTCACTGATGCGACTGACCCTGCGGCCCGGAGTTTTGCCCTCTGTTAGAGTCTATGCCAGGGGTAGTCAAACTCCGGCCCTCCAGCTGTGGTGGAACTACAAATCCCATGAGGCATTGAAAGATTCTCGCAGCCACAGATATGACTCCCGCAGAGAGATGCATCATGGGATTTGAAGTTTCACCACAACTGGAGGGCCGGAGTTTTGCCCTCTGTTAGAGTCTATGCTATACCTTCTTTGCCCCAACCTTAAATATAGAGCGTTTGGAACTCAGGCCTGCAACCTTGCAGCTATTGCCTGTATGGGTTGTTTGAAGTCTCTCGTCTCCATTTTCCATAGAAGTATCCTATCGGGGAACATGAGGGGAACTCTTTGGGGCTAAAGTTTGGGGCTGTTAAGCCTTCATATAAAGGGCTTGCTTTGCATGACAGTATGAGACTTCCTGTGCCCCTGAATGGGCGTGAAGGAAAATTAGGATTTTTCTGCTTACCATAAAATCCTTTTTTGGGAGCCTTTTGAGGTACCCAGGTCCCACCCCTCTGTCTGTGATCATGCGCCTGGTACTGCTTAGCCACAAAACTGAGGTATGTTGAGAGTAGGAGGGGTTATTAGTGGGGATGCACCAGTACTGGTATCGATACCGAGTATTTGGGCGAGTACTCATACTCGGCCAAATGCTCCCGATGCCTATCACGATACCAGGAACTTCTAGTATCAGGAAGTAAGGCGGCGAGTCATTACTCACTGGCCGACTTCCTAATTGGCCGGGAAGTCGGCTCCATGCTTCCTCGTCACTTTGTGACAAGAATGCATGGAGCCGGCTTCCCGGCCAGTCAGGAAGCCGGCGGTGTGCAATGACTCAGGAAGCCGGGCAGTGAGTCCTTACTTGCACCCGGCTTCCTGATTGACCAGAAAGCCGACTCCATGCTCCCTCATCACCCGGTGACAAGGTAGCCTGGAGACGGCTTCCCGGCCAGTCAGGAAGCTGGGCGCCGTGTAATGACTTCCTGATAGGTCCAGAAGCTGGACAATTAGGAAGCTAGACAGCTAGTCATTACTGCCCCCTGGCTCCTGATTGGCCAGAAAGCCGGTTCCATGCTTCCCTGTCACCAGGAGAACGGAGTAGTCTTTCCGGGTAATCAGGAAGCCGGGCTGTGAGTCCTTACACGCCGCCCGGCTTCCTTATTGGGACTTCGGTATCGTCGAGTACCGGAAAAAAAATATCGGTGCTCGATACTGAAAAACCGGTGTCGGTGCATCTCTAGTTATTAGCCAATGTCTAATCCTTTTGTAGGCAGCAGTACAACCCGACAGCATAAGACTTCCTATGTCCCTCAAGGGATTCCAGAAAATAATTTTATGGTGACTACAAAAATCATGTTTTTTTGGAGAGAGAAATTTACCTTTTTGAAATAAAAATGTCAGTGTTACCTTTTCAGAATCGCCTTAAACCCCGCCCCTAACTAAAAATGACTGGACATCCACTATGTATGTACTGCTCCTCTTGACGTTTCTCTCTTCTTGTGCAGGGGGCGTCGTTTGCGTCTCCTGGACATGACGGGTGCCCATGACGCAGTCCCGGAACAAGGCCCCGACTCGATGAGCCTGTGGTCACGCACGGTGACGCTGGCCAAGGCGTGTATCAAGCTCTCCAAGAGATGCCGCCACAAAGCCACACAAGCGGCAAAAAGGCGGCGCGGACACGAAGATTCTGCGCTGGCCCCTCCTGCTTCCCTCGACTCCGTTTACGTGGAGGTGCGAGTGGACCTTTTCGTGAACAGCACTTCATACTCCGTCCTGCAGGAGGCTGTCCAGGTCAGCGCGCGTGGGCCCCTGCGTCTGCGGTGCCGTGACCTGCGGGCCGAGGAGCTGTCCCTGCGGAACACAGTGGAGCTGCTGGAGCTCCTGGACCCGGCAGGGCTGCGCCAGATCGACCTGCGCTTCAATAACCTCGGCCTGGGTGGCCTCAACGCCCTTCTGCCCACCATGGTGAAATTCAGCTCCCTGCGCAGCCTCAAACTGCCGTACAGCAACATCGACGTCCGACGCCTGACTTCCGACACGGAGGACGCCATGAGGAAATTCGCCACGCTCATCGGGCAGCTGAGATCCCTGAAGGAGTTGAATCTCGGATCCTCCCGCCTCTCCGGGCACCTGCGACAGCTGCTGGGGTGAGGCAACAAATTTATTTTTAGAAACAATATGGACGCCTTGAAATGCCAAGTGATAGGAGACACTTAAAGTGGACCTGTCATCAGATGCATTTTATAGCGGTTTTGAGTACGAGTACCGATACTTTGCTTTTGGTACTCGTCGATACCGGTTCTTCCGCTGGCATGGAGCCGGCTTCTCGGGCAATCTGATTGCCCGAGAAGCTGGCTCTATGCTGTCTGGCCGGCTTGATTGTGCTTGGCCATGGGGAAACCGGCTTCCCAGCTAATCAACATCGAGTCGGCTTCCCTGCCAATCAGGAGGCCGGGCGGCGAGTAATGACCTGCCTCCCAGCTTCCTGATTGGCCCGGGAAGCCAGCTCGATGCTGACTTCCCGGCCAATCGGCAAGGCGGGTCATTATTCGCTGCCCAGCTTCCTGATTGCACGGGAATCCGGCTCCATGTTCCCCCTACGGCACTGCCGGTCAGCGGAAATCTTCCTCTGACTGGAAGTTCCAGTATCGAGGAAGGTACCGGAGCATTTGAGCGAGTATGAATAGTCGCCCCAATACTCGCTATCGGCACTGATACCGATACTATCGGTGCATCCCTAATTTCCAGGTATTTCTCTTTATCGTCCAGTGAGGGACACAGGAATTCAGATACAGCTGGTTGCCAGTTGCCTTGACCTATTTTTTTACAGATACTCCTGTCCCTGGCACCTCCCCATGTTGCCTCTCATTACCCCCTTGTGCTACTGCAGAGGAGAAGACAACTTTCTTGTCTTTCTGGGTACCCAACAGCCTGCGGCCTCTTACCTCTGCCTAGCCTGGAGTTGTGCCCCAGCACCCGAGTCTCTATATGGAGACTCTCATCTACCTCTTCATAGGATCTTCTGCCCTTGGGTTGTGTTAAACCTCTTGTGGTATATAGTTCCACTTTACATCTTTTCTCCCCATAGGGACATCCTGACCTACAAGGTTGAATGGGGCCAGCTCCAGCTCTCCACCTGGACAGAAATGACCCCCTCGGTATCCTGTGGAGGCACCCGCTACTTCTCAGAGTATTGGTCCTTGTATTCATCCTCGTGTCCTTTCTTGGCATTTCCATTGTGGGATGCTCAAACGACCTTCTCTGAAGAGGGTCAACTTTCTGGACCCTTACACTCTTGCACCTTTCAGAAAGCCTTTCACGCCCACACTCACACTGCATACTCATTAACAGTCAGGGAATTCATCCCTTTTCCCCAGTCAGGGGTGTGTGGGGGATTGGAGGGAACTCCCCCATAGCGTGGTCTCCCCATTTCATATTGGTTCTTAGTCCTTCTCATATTGGTTCTTAGTCCTCCTCCTGTATTGCTAGGAATCTGGGCTTTAAGCGAGACATCCACATTGTCTCTGCCTGACCTATCAGTCTCTCATGGTGAATGGGGGTGATTTATTCCCCCTACCTTCGGGGGGAACCCCATATGCTGGGTTGTCTCTGAACCTGGGGTTCCAGTCTGGTTACCTCCTCAACGGGAGAACCTCGTCTTGAGTTCGTTTTCTGATGCCGCTAGACATCACCTAGGTCAGTGGTGGCGAACCTTGGCACTCCAGCTGTGCCAAAACTACAAATCCCAACATGCATCTGCCTCTGGGAGTTATGTCTGTGGCTGTCAGAGCCTTGCAACGCCTCATGGGACTTGTAGTTCCAAAACAGCTGGAGTGCCAAGGTGTCCTGACCTAGGTGTTGCAGTGTCTTCGCCTCTGGAAAGGAGTGGGAATCCCTTCTGTGATGGGACACGTAACCTGATTTCTACTCTGGATGACATGGAGTGCTACCCTAGGCCGCACTTTATCCCCTAAAGCAAATGCTTTGGAATCTGGCTCTCCTCAACCAGTGTTTTTTACACCAAAGGGAGAGGTTTGGGTGCTCGTCATCTCCCGTGTGGCGTGCAGGACTTGGTGGGACCTGATTGCCCGGGTGTATGTCCTCTTTCAGTGGCTGTTCCGCAGTCTCTTGGGGATGGTTCTTTAGATCATTTCTCCTGTTCTGCCCTTAATGTCTGTTCTTAGCGGTGAGACTCGGATCCCTCATTCCATGGATATGGATACTTGGTTGGACGGGGGTGGACTAGAGGATGTGTAGAACCATGTTATGTATGAAAGGTTAGGTAGGTCCTGCAGAGTTATTCTGTCCGGCCCCAGAGTCACCCTTGGGGGTGTATGTGAATGGATTCTTTATCATCCTATTCTTCTGGTGGTTCCCTTCACCAGTCTGGTTGTGCACCCTACCCCTTTCAAACATGTACCCTTGAGTTCTCTGTGGTGTGAGGGTCACATTGAAACCCTTTTTTTTTCGGGTCATTCTGCTGCGAGGACTCTCACATCTTTCTGGATCTCTCGTTTACTGAGAATTAGTTGTCTAGTGAGGCAACCTTCTTCCTATCGCAGAGTTTACCTGATCCTACGGGTCGGGAATATGATGCCTGGGCCATCCTGTGTAGGCCAGCTGTTCTTTCCATGCAGACTTGGTGCTGTCTAAGGGTCCCTCTAGGGAACTGTTGCTCAGGGGGCTCAACCCAGTGTTTTTTTTTCTGTTACCCGCATTGTGTTATGGGCCTGTTACTCCCCTTAGTTGGGTAGTTTTGTTGGTTCTTGGTTTTTCAGCCCGTTGCTGGTTCAGACGCAGTGTTCCTTTTGGGTAGAGTAATTCTCAGGTGGTGTTCTCCTTCCTCCTGGTCTTGAGCAACCCCTGTGGCCTTCCCTTGGTCGTTGACAACTTCCCCTGTTTTGCAGGGGGGGTTCAGTTGCAGACGTCTGTCTTCTGGTGGTCCTTCTGTTGGAGTTGCCGAGACTTCCCAGTTCCTTCTAGTAGGTAATTTTGGGTTGCTTTTGGACTTCCCAAATCTACCTGAATTCCTGTGTCCCTCCAATGGGCGAGAAAGAAAATGGTAAATAGAAAAATCTCTTAAAACCTTTTTTTTTTTTTGGAGTCCATTGAGGCACACAAGTCCCACCAAGCCTGTGTGTTTTTGCCTTTGGTACCTATTTTAGGGGAGAGACACCGTCCGACGCTGGGGTCCCTTTAAAAATGTCCTCGGCCAAAAAGGGGTCACGAGTGGAGAAAGTTTTTAAGAAGGCCTGCTCATAGAAAACTGAGGCATGCTGGGTAGAGGAGGGATTATGTAAAGGGGGGACTCAGACAAAAATCAACTTATTACCTCTCGCTGAGATCACATTACTACCACTGACAATGCCTTCATCTGATTCTCTTCTCCAGTAGGACAGAGCCATCTTTGTTCAGGCATCATCGAAGGTTTCCAGTGGGCTGGGTTAGGTCAGGGGTAAAAAAAAAAAAGAACTTTCCCGAAAAATTATACTTGCTGTATAGTGTGATCTGTGGGGACCCTTTAGAACATGTGGGACCCTTTGGGATCTGTAGGACCAGTGGGAACGGAACGGTTCACTTTCAGTAGCAAGCGGGTGGGGTGGGGGGACACATGGCAGGGAGATCTCACCAGAAGATATGAGGACAGGATATGGGACTCCTCCACCTAATAAATATCACTTTAAATTTGCTGCCAGCTCCTAACCTGACTGAATTGCTCCTGAATTCTGTAGACGGTAACGTTGTGCACTCCTTTTTTCTTTCAGGGGCATCCAAGAGCCACTGGAGAGTTTGGAATTGGCGTTCTGTTTCCTCCTCCCGGCAGATTTGTATTATTTGTCCCAGAGCCCCCACGCCGCGACCCTGAAGAAGGTGGACCTGAGTGGGAACAACCTGTCGGAGCTCCTCCTCCCCCCCTTCCAGCAGCTGCTGGCTGCCGTCTCCTCCTCCCTGCTCCATCTGGACGTCATGGAGTGCAAGCTGAACGACTCCGCCCTGTCGGCGCTGGTGCCCGCCCTCTGCCGCTGCTCCCGCTTGCAGCACCTCGGACTCTGCTGTAATCCGCTATCCTCCCAGGGACTGAGGACTCTCCTCCAGAACTGCGCGTGGCTCCGGGAGCTCCGGCTGGTGGTCTACCCGTGCCCGGTGGACTGTTACAGCGATGTGGCGGACTGGGTGGCTTCTCGCGGCTCTCCGCCGCACAGCTTCGTCGGCCAGGAGAAGCTTGCACTGTTCTCGGCGGAGCTGCAGGTGATGTTGGCGAGGGCGGAGCGGACGGACATCGTGTGGACGATGGATATGCGCGTTCACCGAAACCTGGACTACCTGAGCCTATAGTGCCGAAAGTCACCGGAATAGGGACTTGGGGTGCCAACCACGGCCAGGACTATATAAAGACGAAGAAGAGGGACGGCCAGGAAGAGGGTTAGAACCTCCGTCAGGTTTTAGAGCGGTCTGTATCCCTGGTGGGGGAATTTTTGTTCACTTCCTGTTCTGTCCGACGCCCATCAAATAGACAGGAAGTGAAAGAAAATCTCCACCAACCCAGACAGCGACCCTCCCCCACGCCACCCAGCACTGCAGAAAGCTGGACATTCCCCCTTCTGTGTCTCTATATTGGAGGAGCCGTCCGTGTTTTATATTATATAAGAATTCAGCTTTTCTGTGCAGCTATGACATCACTGGGATCAGAACTCCGAATAAAGTCTTTCTTACAATAAAATGATAGGCAGCAAAAGTTTATTTTCGGCATACTCCGTCCTTCCCTTCAGGTCTCCTATCTTTGGGTGTCGGAGGACGGTTCAGTCCACTGCTAGTTGCGTCAGGCCCTGATGATCGGGTAGACCCCAGACAGTGGGAGGACCCCCGACGGCACTACCTCCTGATGTGAGCGGAGAACCACGGGGTCTGGCCTGGAGGGTTTGGTGGCGACAGAAGCCTGTGGTGTTGTGCCCCCTGGGGGGTGGCGTCCCAGGGGTGCTCAGAAAGTCACATGGGTGTGGGACCCCACCTGACTCACTGATGCCCTTGGTCACACACCACATTGCTTATTTCTGCACCTCGCCTCCAAGACAGGCCTTATGGCTAGTCTGGGGCAATATTTTTGCACTCCGGCCCCTAAGGCCTGTCAGAGTGGTGCACTGGCACTTTAGATTTATTTAAGCACTCTATCCACGTTTGGCACTTTTTTATTTTACATTTTCAACCCACAGATGCTGAAGGTGCAGGTTTCTTCGGGGCCTATTCCCAATGCTGGGAGGAGATTCTGTGCCTCCTACGGGGTTCTCTGTCTCCTCCCACCCAGGAGGTGGGTCTCTCTTCGGGAGATCCCCCCTGCCTAGTACTGTGAGGGACCTGTTTCGGCAGGTCCCCAAAGGATCGGGGTCCACCAGCCTTCGGGTTGGTGGGCCAACAGTCTCAACCCCTGTCAGGAGCCTTGCGCCCCGGGGGGTCGGGAAAGTAGGTCCCTTCTTTGGAAGGACTTTGCCCCCTTGTGCACGTTTTTGTGTGCCGTGATTTCACGGTTGCACTTTTTTTGTTCACAGGGGGAAGTTTGTTTAGACGCACATCCACGGGCTTCAAAAAAGCCATGATCTCTGTGCATGGTATAGAGAAGCACAGAGACCCATTAATGACATCACTGGGGTCTATAGTAACATAGGTAATGGAAGCAGAAAGGTTTTATTTGAAAATGTTGATGAGGGGGGAGGAGAGGAACCAGGGAAGGCAAAATATAAGCAGCTTTTTTTGGATGGAATGGGGAAAATTTAGTACCCCTGCCAGGTTCTCTATCACTGTCCCATTGGGGGGATTTCACTTCCTGTCCCAGAGACACAGCAGTAGGTGAAAGGAAATCCTTCCATAGGGAGGGGGAAACCTCTCTTAGACAGATATTGGTGTCCCCATAAAACAATCCCACCGCATTCCAGTGACAACTTCCATCCAGGTGTCCCCAGCAGGAGGAAGGTGGTCCTGATTCCTCCTATATAGATCTTTATTATCACTAGAGGGGTCCCCAGCAGGAGGAAGGAGGTCCTGATTCCTCCTATATAGATCTTTATTATCACTAGAGGGGTCCCCAGCAGGAGGAAGGAGGTCCTGATTCCTCCTATATAGATCTTTATTATCACTAGAGGGGTCCCCAGCAGGAGGAAGGAGGTCCTGATTCCTCCTATATAGATCTTTATTATCACTAGAGGGGTCCCCAGCAGGAGGAAGGAGGTCCTGATTCCTCCTATATAGATCTTTATTATCACTAGAGGGGTCCCCAGCAGGAGGAAGGAGGTCCTGATTCCTCCTATATAGATCTTTATTATCACTAGAGGGGTCCCCAGCAGGAGGAAGGAGGTCCTGATTCCTCCTATATAGATCTTTATTATCACTAGAGGGGTCCCCAGCAGGAGGAAGGAGGTCCTGATTCCTCCTATATAGATCTTTATTATCACTAGAGGGGTCCCCAGCAGGAGGAAGGAGGTCCTGATTCCTCCTATATAGATCTTTATTATCACTAGAGGGGTCCCCAGCAGGAGGAAGGAGGTCCTGATTCCTCCTATATAGATCTTTATTATCACTAGAGGGGTCCCCAGCAGGAGGAAGGAGGTCCTGATTCCTCCTATATAGATCTTTATTATCACTAGAGGGGTCCCCAGCAGGAGGAAGGAGGTCCTGATTCCTCCTATATAGATCTTTATTATCACTAGAGGGGTCCCCAGCAGGAGGAAGGAGGTCCTGATTCCTCCTATATAGATCTTTATTATCACTAGAGGGGTCCCCAGCAGGAGGAAGGAGGTCCTGATTCCTCCTATATAGATCTTTATTATCACTAGAGGGGTCCCCAGCAGGAGGAAGGAGGTCCTGATTCCTCCTATATAGATCTTTATTATCACTAGAGGGGTCCCCAGCAGGAGGAAGGAGGTCCTGATTCCTCCTATATAGATCTTTATTATCACTAGAGGGGTCCCCAGCAGGAGGAAGGAGGTCCTGATTCCTCCTATATAGATCTTTATTATCACTAGAGGGGTCCCCAGCAGGAGGAAGGAGGTCCTGATTCCTCCTATATAGATCTTTATTATCACTAGAGGGGTCCCCAGCAGGAGGAAGGAGGTCCTGATTCCTCCTATATAGATCTTTATTATCACTAGAGGGGTCCCCAGCAGGAGGAAGGAGGTCCTGATTCCTCCTATATAGATCTTTATTATCACTAGAGGGGTCCCCAGCAGGAGGAAGGAGGTCCTGATTCCTCCTATATAGATCTTTATTATCACTAGAGGGGTCCCCAGCAGGAGGAAGGAGGTCCTGATTCCTCCTATATAGATCTTTATTATCACTAGAGGGGTCCCCAGCAGGAGGAAGGAGGTCCTGATTCCTCCTATATAGATCTTTATTATCACTAGAGGGGTCCCCAGCAGGAGGAAGGAGGTCCTGATTCCTCCTATATAGATCTTTATTATCACTAGAGGGGTCCCCAGCAGGAGGAAGGAGGTCCTGATTCCTCCTATATAGATCTTTATTATCACTAGAGAGATCCCCAGCAGGGGGAAGGAGATCACACGAACCAGGCAAGACTCCTCCCACCGGTCACATGACCACAACATCATCACAGGTCCTTAAGACCATGAGCCAGGTCCCCTCCCCTACATGTGGCTGGTCACATGATCACGTCGTCATCCCAGGTCCTCCCTCCCCTGGAATGCAGCGTGTGTCATGCATGTCCTGCCGGTTACATAAGACGTCCTGACCGTAGGAGAGGTAAAGGTTCCGATTTGCTTTGTTTTGGTGTTTTCTGACTCTCCAGACGGACGTTTGTTGTTCGCTCGGGTTCTCGCTGGCGAAAAAGTTCGGCGGAGTGTTCACCGTCCGGCTTTGTTATTTATAAACAAAGTTTTTTTTGCAATTTGTTACTTTTTAAAAGCTGCCGGGGGAAGGGG